GGTTTCTCGTATAAGTACAAAGCGAATTCGAATAAGTACACCAAGAGATGAGTCACATTTCACGAGCGATCTTTTTTCTTCTCCTTTGTCCCCGTACTACACGTACATACTACTTACATTTACATGCATTACATTAACACACCTGTCAGAAGAGCAGTCGGGAGCTTACAGTTTGTTCCGACTGGGGTAGTGACATGATGGCGGATACCTGGTGGGGGGCCGAAGTGAAGGTTGGCGCCGGATCTCATCATCCAGCGGGATAGGAACACCGCCATCTTCCAGGATAAAATAGTCAGAGTATCGGGCGTAACAACTATAGAGGTCGGCAGGTCTGTAAACATGAATCAATTAACTCCCTAGATTCGCCCCCGCATGGTGTTACCAATGGTTTTGTAAAGTGAAGCAATATCAATAACTACTCAAATGACGTTCTTCATACTTGCCCCATCCTCTGCTCTGTACACACACTGCCACAAACAAATATGCACTACAATACCACATATGTCGAGAGACCAGTCAAGCTAGCGTTTGTCCTCGCTAGAGTGGTGCTCTCTAGGGGAGATATTCCAGTCCTCGCTCAGGGAGGTACTGGAGGGGGGTCTGTAATAGTAGTATAGTATCTCTAGTTTGATATCTGTGGAAAAATAGATTGAGATGCAAAGTGACGAAAGCATAAGCCGACTGTGTGGATTGCGTTTCCCTCAAATCCCTCCTGCTCCGCCGGGGCTTGCCGCACGCCGCCTGACCTGGCCGTGCCGTGCCGCCGCGCCGACAGAGGACCTAGCCCACAACAATCGGGTGGGTGACGCAATGGCGCAGAAGAGGAAGGGGGCGAGGTGTTTTCGTAAATTTCACTTTACGACGCTCCTATTCGTCGGATTTGCATGATTGTCACGGCGTTGGATTCAGGAAGCATGTCGCCATGGCGCTATAAGCCCACATTTTTAATGTATTCTTGGAAGTTTGAGAACTAATTTCAAATTCGAACTTTTGCAAGAGTTTTGGAAGAAGGACTTCATAGCGAAAATTTTATTTTTAAAAGGTGTGAAATGCCGTTTACAGATCGAAAATCGGACCATTTATTTAGACGTTATCAGTAAAGTTAATTCCCTGTAATAGTGCTGCGATCTATTGCATTTTCCTATAAGTATTTTTCGGTGCATTTAGCCTTAAACCTAACGACATAATCCTAAGCGGATTAAATAAAAGTTACATCAAACCCTTCCCTAAGATATCGTTAATCAGAGATTTATATTGACAAGATACCGGATTCTGCACTGTTCTGCACTTTTCCACTGACAATGTTTCATGTTTCCTATCTGAGGAAGAAGGCCACATTGCTAACCAATGCCCCTGTCATCAAAATCATACTAATAACAGTGACTTCCCAGCTAATAGAAATCATGCTGCACCTACTACCAATGTACAGAATTCTTCAATTACTTCTAGTTAATGACAACTAGAATTTTCACCCTCCACCAAAATACTCCAAACTTATTCACCTGCAAATGAAGATCTGTTGATTTTTTTCTCCCTGAACGCTGCTCTCCATCCTTCCGCGTTTTCATATTTTTTGTAGTACTAAAGGATTGAAAATATGGATTTGTCGTAAGTAGTATGTATTGAAATACAATCGTTTTATATATTTCAACTTAATTTAAAGAGGTGTCATACCACAGGATATTAATGGGATCTTGAAACTAAACACACTGCAACAGTTTTGTGGCTGTGTAAAATTATTTGCACGCGTCCTGAAATTCCCAAGTGATGCTAATGGTGAGCATTCTGCTTCCTAATGGCCGGTCGCAGGCGCTGGTAAATCGGTTTCCCCTTCCAAGGCGGCGAGTGCTTGGAGGGAGGGGGCGCGCGCCCCTATTGTGGCGCGGCGTACTTCGCGCCGGAGGTGGGGGTGGGGGTGGGGTGGGAAAGACCGACGCCAAGATCCGGCCAACTTCTCCAAGTTCCATTCCCCAACGCACAAGTCCGTTTGACCCAGTGATAGCTTCGTTGAGAACGATATACACGTCACTTGGAAGTCATTGAAATGCCGTGTAGAGACGTTCCTAGTGTATACAATCTGCACTGCCACGCAGCTCAGGACTGGCATCTTGTGGTTCCTCAACCAACGTTGTTACAAATAATTAAATGTATGAATGCTTCCTCTCAGTATTCTATTCTGTGTTTCATATTTCGATCCTGTAAACGTTTATTTGAAATTTAAATTAGAGGTGAAATTTTATAGATGTTCGATTTAAAAAAAAGAAATGCAATGGTGGAAAAGTGAATGAACAAGAAATATAATGTTATTTTGTACAAAAATAATTGATAGACAGTTGTCTCGCATTTTGATGGTTCATGTCACTCCAGAAATACTAAAAGAAAGAAGGAAGAAACTCAAAAACTGCGTATTCTTATAGAAATTAAGAAGGACATCCGAGATTCCGCTGACCGGTGTGAGTGATAAATGACCAACTTCTTATATTAGAGAATACGAAATCCAAAAATTGTTGTGACTTAAACATTTGAGACACTCGTGTCAATAATAGTCAATTGTTAATAATACCTTGCTAATATCACTCACAACAGAAGCACACGATATATTTTTATAACTTTTCGATGAACACATTGCTTCGAAATATCAGTGAATACAAAGACCATCCGATCGGGCAAACCTACATCAAATGCATCTGCATCAATGCAAATGCAAACGTGCATCAAAATCTGCATCAAATCCACATACAATACTAGTATGTTCTTTATAACGCATTTCCAGATGACATTAAACAATTGAAGTGGTACCCAAATTTAAGTTAAACGTATAATGTTTCTCCTACATAACTATTTTTATACAATTGGAGACTATACTGATCATCAAAGAGAAAAATAATGGTTGCTTTAACAAAACAGTGATATATAATGAATTAGTTTACATTTGTATTGTATACATTTTTTGAAAAGACTTAATATATTTGTAACAAATAGCGTACCTCAGATTACGGGTCAATGACCCCCTTTTTCCATCAGGTTTTTGTCTAGTTTCCCTGATCCATTGAGCAAATGCTGAGATGGTCCCTTGTTTTGCTTCTGGACGTAAATACAGCTTCACTATGCGCACGTTGTGTTGAACTCTCCTTTTGCTTATAGTGGTAGGAGTAAACGAGTAGAGGTAAGCGCGAGTTACTATTTTGTTAGCAATGCAGAAAAATAAAATCTGCAGTTCGTTTACCGTTGCAAATAAACTTTCTATAACTCGGGAACGAAAATGTCTAGTTTTTCAAATGTTGCTAATCTCCCGTTTTTTAAATTTTAGTTTTATTTATTTATCTTTAACTTTTACTCATCTTCCAACTATTTAAAATCAAAATAATCGGAAGGTATTCTGGAACTCAAAAAAACGTGCGCAGATATCCTTCTCCCCATCGTCAAATACAATTTTTACTGTTTTTGACTAAAGAAATCTAAATCTAATGAGATATTTGATACACGGCTACTGTATGCTTGTTAACCGGTTCTGTAGAGTTTTGAGCTTCGCGTCTCACTTCATACAGTATTCTGCCAGCGTGTTTTGCGTTGCTGCGTATCGTGCGTTATTGAGAGGTGAAGGGTGGGGAACTATTATGATCTGGGACCACAAAGGCATCAGAGAGGGATACCTCTCATGTGGATGAGGAATAGTACAATGGAAACTTTACTCCGTCCCATCGACCTCTGGATGAAACACAGGAGGCAGATCTCGCAAATCAACGATGGCAGTGGGCGATGTATTCAAATGACGGGGCCGGCTCTCTCCACCGCAGCGGGCTTTGCAATGGCTCCTATATGGCGCAGCACCAGTCGGTAGATTTTTATGCTTAAAAGCTTTGGCCCGCTACATGCTACGGCTTGTGCGGCAGTGTTCAGTTGAATGTTTCATAAAGCGAGCATGAGAATGCAACGTAAAGCGTGTAAATCATTCTATTGAATGGAAAATTTTTGTTTTAATTTAATTTCACAGTGTTGTACATCATGGTGTAGGGAATTACCGAAATAGAATTATCTTTCTCAAAATTGTGCGTTACATTTAATAAATTGATATTTATGTGAAATGTAGTTTTTCCGAGTTATTTTTTAAAGTGATCGAATATAGGAACTCACGATCTTGGATTTTTTTGTTTTAAAAGTTTTGGACTATGTCTATCGTGTAATTATACACCATAATACAATACTTTAATGATTGGTTGAATGAGTATTATACAATTTATCTATTCAAGATATTTGAAAATGTTGAATTAAACGATTAACAAAAATGAAAATAAGTTTCACAATATTAAGAAATCTGTGTATTCAAACAAATTTAGAGAAGAAATCCAATTATTTTGTCTAACACCAAAAGGGCAACTAGAGCGCTTTAAAATAGCGTAACTTCAAGACAATTAAAATCGACGATAATACTTCAGAATTCTGTGGCATGATTGAAATCTGATGGGGAACCGAATTTATATTAGGTAAGAGGGGTAAAAGTCTTCATGTATAAATCAACTTTCCATCATGTTGTTTGAGGTTGAACGTTCATAAACCATTACCGGCGCGCATTTTGACATTGTGAGCCACATCGTACAAGCCACAAAACTCCAGCCAAGACACCAGATTGTTCACATTTTTGACAAGGGGGCGCTCTTATGAAGACAATCATACAGGCAGTGGTGCTGTAGAATTTTTTTATTGGCACACTTATTGATATTTGTCATTGATAACATTATTCTACTTAAAAAACACCCACGACTTAAAACCCTCCTTCTTACCTAATCTAGTTCCATTAGTCATGAGCATTGCTGAATATTTTAGGGAACATTCATTTTAATATAATGATACATTATGTTGGCAGTCATGTTCAAAATAATAATTTATTTCCTCATTGACTATCAATTCTTGGCTTGAGATTCACATACCTACATTTTGGGTGATGGTAAAGAGAGATTTTTGAAAGTTTCATTAAAATCCAAGTGTTTTGTATCTCGTAGACGTGCAACGTGTTTTGGGAGCTTCCCGGCCCTCTTGGGACACTGGTGCGCGCACACGACTACGGCTCTACGGCAGCTGATTCAGCGCCGGCCGATGTACGAGCTGAGAAACGGTGCAAGCCTACCAAGCAAACCTAGTTGCCGATAAGGCGATCCACTGTTGATGAATATACATGTATGTCAGTCACATTCCTCGGAGGTAATACTAGCATACTCGACATGCAGTTTAAGGGATGATGACTGATGGGGCACTTACTATTGACGAATGATCGATTAAGAATCGAAATGTAGTCTCCTTCGAAAAATAAAATAAATAAATCTTTAAGTGAAAAACTATATTAATTTCCTTAGTCTATTTACTTTGTTTCAGTTTTAGTGAAGATTAGAACATTCGAACATTACGTAACTCATTGTGACATTTCTGACTTTTATCCCTATTAAAAATAGCTATATTGATGCAACAGCATGTACAAAAATACAGAAATTATAAAGTCTATATAAAGCAGCTGTCAAATATTTCAGGTTTATTGGTGCCTAGCAAGGGTTTCTAAACAGATTTGTAACGACCCCATGCGCGTTTGTAACATTTTATTGGAATCAATGATGTGAAAGAAGGTCGATAGCCTACTTCAATCTGGGCGACGGAACAGGAAATAAAGAATTAAAGTAGCATGTGAATTTAACGGTATGATAACTGTGAAGATGACATGATATGGTGATAATAATGAGTTAAATGAACAGAAATACGACGATGCCCGAGGAGGGACTCGAATCCGCCATCCTTCGTTCGGAGATTGCAACGGCACTACTGCCTTAACAACCTCGGCTGTCCGGACCGGCAAGTGAGTACTTCGCGGATGCACCAAAGGTTAAATTTGCTTTGCCGGGGATGAATTCATATCTTTGGGGCCACCCTTTGGTTTCACAGAGCTTCTTTGTTGCTCTGCTATCCCACATATAGACAAAAGAAATAGTATTTAGTAAATCCCCCCTGAAGACCAAGTAACAATGATATTTCTTTAAAATCTTCGTTCGTGATTTTCGTAACCAATGCTTCAGAGGATTACATCTATACATTCGTATGAGTCATTAAAACGACCGAATGCGCTAAGAGAATAGATGTTTTGATGTAAATAGATTACGGAAATCTTTGTTTGCCGGTAAGGATATATTTTGAAATTTCTTTCATAAATTTTGTTTTTGTAAATATTTTTAAATTTTTGAAACAATTACGTTTTATAATAATTGTGAAATGGAGTCATTAAATAGTAATTAACTTATTTTATCTTGTTAGATTTTTCTGATAATTTCTGCTGAATTTGGTTTTGTGGCTAGCTAGCTACAGGTTGAAGCTAGCTGATCTTCGATTTTTTAAAAAAAGACTGACGTAATTCATTTAAAATTATGATTATTAATGAGTAATTAATTAGTATTAAACGATTACATGTAGTTTTTTGTGGTCCGCTATAGGTGGCTAGCCAGCTTCAGAGAGATGAGGGACAAACGTTTTGACGTCATTAGAATTTTCGGAATCAGGACCAACAAAATATGGATTTAGGCTACACCATGTGTTAGAGGAATTTGTTCTAAATTTAACAACTGGATTTATTCATTTTTGGATTTATCCATCACCAGGTCCCTGTAATTAGAGTTTTTAGACGAAAATTTGCCGTTTTTCGCGATTTCTCTCTACTCCGTAGGGAGAAAGTAATGGACCAAAAATATCGATTTATTACGAAGAATGTGCATAATAATACAAAATAGTTTTGTTAAAACCAATAAATGCGTAAATATATAAATTGTAATAACAATACGGCTGACAGCTGACGATGACCCTGAAGAGAAAACCGAGTGTTCTGCTCCCGGAGCTGAGGATTGGAAGATGCCTGTGCGGGCAAAATGATTGCACGTACGTATAGTTTTAGGGAGTATTTTACCCAATCTCCGATACACGTTCTAAGATTGCGAGAACGCAGTTTGTCTAAACGACTATAACCAATACTAAAGGAATTAAATTCAATTCCTTCGTGGGGCATGGCTTCCAGTGGCAACAATTCCAAATACCTCAATCATCCAGGGGTCCTATTCAGCGTCTTCTGTTGAGGACTGCGTTAGAAACAATTACAGATAATAAAGGGAAGGGAAAGAAAGGTAAAAAGGGGGAAAATAAACTTCATAGTTAAGAAATTCAATTGTGTTATTCAAAATTTATTATAAGGAGTTATTTATTATATGTCATTCTCAATCAAATTGAATAATTACATTTCACCCCCTAAATAAACCTGGCTCTCTCTCACATTGTTTAACACATTCACATCAGATCTACCCGTTCGAGACAATCACACGCCACTTTATGCTGACGATAAAGCCGCCTATTCACCGGACTCCGAGTTTCCCGAGATCACTCACAACCTACAAGCCGTACTACGCTTTTCAGAGTTGGCATCTTCGTGAAAACTAAAGCTAAAGCACAGGCCACATGTTTCAAAATGTATCCTTTAATAAACAAAAAGTCAGGTCTTAAGACAGGACTCTCCCTTTCACTTTACAAAACTGCAATTCTCCCCACACATACTTATGTACGTCCTGTTAAAGAGTAGCTGCTCCATCGGTTCGTAAAATGCTTCACACCTTTCAAAGTAAAATTCTTCGTATTGCCGTCAAAGCGCCGTGGTTCGTGTCAAATTAGCAACTGCGCCGTGAGTTTGATCTTCGCGATAGATCATTATATCATACATCAGTCAAATACTTTTTTTTCCCTTATCATCCACCCCTGCAACATCTATATTAAAAAAAGGAAAACGCGGAAGAATGAAATATTGATTCCTAAAATAATAATTTTTAACCGTCTTAAAGCGAAACCCATGATTTTCCCAGACCAACTTTCTGTGACTTGTATTTTCCTGAAAATATGGCCTGTTCCCCAATTGTCCCAATTTCATGGCATACAGTATAACTTTAATTCTATGAGGCGTGCATTGGAGGTAGCCCCTGCCCTGTTGGAGGCTCTAGAGCCGTGCTTTGTCCCTGCGTTGGTAAGGGAGTGGGCCGTATTGAGGCTCATGCTCACGCCGCCTCCAGCGGCGCGGCGCGGCTCAGCGGCGGGGGCCGCGGGGACCGGGGACACAAAATCCGCGCCCAACAGAGGTTGAAACATTGATGAGTTTATCCGATACGACAAATTGCCGCCTGATCCCAGATTTGGGCGATCGGAGAGCGCCGCGATGGAGGGTGATGCGGGCGGGGCGGGGGGCGGAA